AAGCAATTTACATAATTATTTTATCGGCGAAGTTTAATCAGTAGAATATCTGTGATAATTTCAGCAAAGAACATCACGTAGCGCACTGAGTGACATCATTATTATTCTTACGTTAACCACACGGTGGGGAAGACAACGTACCTTAGTGTTGACTTGAGACAGAGTATTATTAACTACCACAAGTCGGGAAATAGTTACAGCACTATTTCGAACCGGTTAGCTATCCCTAAATCTACAGTACAGTCCGTTATAAAGAAGTTTAAACAGTTTGGCACGACAGAGAATTTACCTGGTCGTCGGAGAAACCCATACTGTCACCAAGAACTGCAAGAAAACTGTGTCGCGAGGTTAATATAAACCCAATAGTTGTTTTGAAAGATATCGCCAAAAGTTTGGATAGGATGGATATCAGCGTAAGTACTCGCACAATACAACGTTGTTTATATAGGAATGGGTTGTACGGAAACCAGCCACAGCAAACCCCTCTTCACAAATCATGTCACATTTTTGCTCGGTTTAATTTTGCCAAAACGTTCTTGGACAAAAAAAAAACATTGCTTTTGGGAACAAGTACTATGGAGTGATGTAACAAAAATTGAGCTTTTGGTACATAATGTACAGAAGATTTGGTGCAAGAAAGGTGAGGCTTTCTTCGCAAAGAACAGTGGCAACATTAAAACGTAAGCGTCTCGATAATGTTTTGGGGTTTCTTTAGCTGAAGAGGGACTGGGTAATTAATTGTATTTAGAGGAATAATGAAACCTGCCGTCTATATCAGCATGTTTTGCACCTGTATCGCTCTTTCTGATGACATTCTGAGCATGAACATCGTGACTGAACCCGAAATACATGCTAAGTAATCCATGAACGAACGTGTTACTGCGAAGTTCACTAACAAAACGTAGGCTATACCGCTGAGCTGGGGAGCCCCTATGCAAGAAAGATAAGACCACTTACAGCAGGAACTTCCCCAGTACTTTCTGAAATTTTCTATTTGTGGTAAGTCATGTAAGTACCTGAAAAACTTCCGGATTTTAGAGGTCTTCCGATTTGGGAATTTCGGATAACGGATACCGAAACTGCAATGACGATTATTAGAAATAGATGGTTCTCACGGTTTTACTGTTTGAATTACCTATAAAGTGAGTTGATTTTGAATTACCTATAAAGTGAGTCGATTCTAGAGATTCCTACTGCTGTATAGCCCCCTTGCTCTGGGGAGGCTTTGGACTATGGTCTTGATCCACCCCTTTGTTTTCCCCCTTCTCGACTGTTGATCGCCAGTTGCTATATTCGGAGACAAAAGAGACATCAACAAAAGGGATTGTAACCCAAATATTATTTTATTAAACACGTCGACGGGTACATCCTCTAATTAGCCAGTGGGGTCGCTCTCTCAGTCCCACCGGATATAATACGCCTACATTCTTGGACGTGTAAAAATTAGACCCCATGAAATTCCTTTGTATCTCTCTAACATTCCCACGCTCCTTTTAACCAATCAAAAACGACTTCCTCTGTTTTCCTGTATCTGACTTCAAAGGTCAAAAGGACGTCAGAGAGGGAGTACAAAGATGTAAACCATAATAGTTTACTAGACTATTATTAAACACTACCAGGATTCATTATTGGCGGCCACAATCTTAAAAACATAAGATATGTAGATGACACAGTGTTGATTGCACGCACAGAAAGAAAACTACAAAAACCCCTGCAGATGATAGCGTCGAAAGAAAGTAAACATCAACTGCAAGAAGACAGTATGCATGGTTGTTAGAAAAATGTTGATCCCAAAGTGCGAAGTGCAAATCGGAAATACTAAAATCAAACAAGTCTGGAAATTTAAATATCTGGGAAGTGGTTTAACATAGAACGGAAAGAAAGACACTGAAATCCGAAGGTGTATTGCGATAGGCAAAGATGCCTTCCAAAAGCTAAGCAGAGTACTTGAAATAGAAAAAGTTCACAGCAAAAAAAGCAAAAGAGTACTGAACTGTTAAGTGATATATGTCCTCTTATATAGCAGTGAATGCTGGACAGTCTCCTCGAAGATGAAGAAGTGATACGAAGCAACAGAAATGTAATTCTGCGGATGGATCCTGAGGATACCATGGATCTAACATGTAAGCAACGGCGAAATGGAAACAAAAAGGAAACTTATACTTAACATCAGGAAGATACAGTTGAGGTTTCTGATGCACAGTGTGAGAAAGAACGACTTGGAAAATATGATACACACAGGACAGATTGAAAGCAAGAAGGACAGAGGAAAACAACGCATAACATGCTTAGTGGTTTTGATTAAATGGATGGCGAAATAACTAGAAGAAAAAAAGTTAAGAGCTACAAGAGAGAGGAAGTTATGGAGAGCTATGATAGCCTACGTCCTGAAGCGACAAGGCACATAAAGAAGAAGAAGATTAATCGTAATTCTTATTAAAAAATAATTTAATGTGAGAGTGCTGGTGATTAGGGGTCAGATTTTTTATCAGCCTGCTGCTAATTAGGGTTTTGACTTAATAAGCTAAATTTTTACTTCTGCGTCTATAATATTTACGTAGGAATCGTTAAATAGTTGAGCTTAACAACTTTAACCAAAGCTTACAATAACAATCATAGCGACGAATGCAGGTCATTATTTCAAGAAGTAAGGGAGTACAAATGAAAAGATTTGAAATTTGAAAGTTTTTTCTCACTGGAGCAAACTTTAAACATACCAGAGCTTTACCGACTCCTCCCTCTTCTCTCTCTTTCACACACACACACGCACACACAGACACACACACACACAATCGCTTACTTTCTTTCTTTCTTTTTCTCACTAAAACCAAAGGACGTCTCTGCTATGTCTTTCTCGTCTTTCCCCGCGATCAAATCGAAATTGTACATTATTTAATTATTGGCAGTAAGTAACGTACGTACTGACTAGCGTAAACTAGGGAAGAAGAAGAAGAATTGAAGTAAAATTTTTAAAACAGTTATAATGACAACGAAAATATATGCGGGTAAATGACGTAAAGATGATTCTCTAGAATACCATCGCTCAGGGAAAGAAATTCGTGTCCAATTCAAACACCGCAGTCGATTTGTCAAGTATGGCACTTATTTAAAATTATTTATTGTTAATATATGGGATATGATCCTAGTCGTCTGCTCTGTTGGGAACTGTGCAAACACCATACCAAAATCCAAGAGACGGATGTGCAATATGATAGGTCTCGATCTGGCATCTCGTCTACAGTCACGGACGTGCTGTGGCTTACCTCTGTTTTTTCTACAAATATTTTCATGGTGCCTGTTCTGACGAGCTATTTTCACTGGTGCCCCAATTGCATGAATGTAAGCGTGCTACGAGGTTGGGTTCTCGGTCCCACCCTTTCGCTGTCGAAACGGTGAAATGTAGCCGTCTCTACTACTCCAACAGCTTCTTATCTCGCACTTCTTGACAGTGGAGCTCCCTCCCTCTTACTTGGTTCATTGATAGCTATAATCTTCAAATATTCAAATGTACTATCAATCGACATATTCTGATCCCTTGATCCTGATCTCCGTCCTTCTCTTTATCCTTTCCTCAAACACCCCTCTTTAATCCTGCTCTCACTCGCTGTAACCCCTTGCGTGCCAATGGCACCCTCGTCTTGCTTTGGGTAATATAATTAAAAAAGGCCCATGTACAGGACTCATCGCAGCATGATAGACCCTTATTTGTGTGAGTTCCTTTGGAGACGTAAGGCAAAATATAACAATGAATGAATTTTTGAATAAATTTTACAGGACATTTCTGGATGTTCGTGTGGATTTTAGTAAATATAAATTGTTTTATTTTGGATCGAATTAATATTTTGGGGTGAATTAACAAATAAGATCCGAGCCAGAAATAGACTCTTAAGCGTTCTTGTAGACAAAATGAGAAAAGAGTGCTTAGAAAAGTTGACACTCACAGGACAGAATGAAGTGTGGCTTCATTTCTTGACACGGCAGTTATTTTCATCTTTCGTTTGCTTGCCGCGGTGTTTGGAGTGCAGCTACGTGTATGAGAACCGAACCCGCTACTTGGGCTGTCCATTGGCCGGTCGTGGAAAGCAGGCTGATAGTTCCGTTTTATATTTTCGGTATCTTGAGTTGTAGGACGCTTTTGCCTGATTCATTGAACCAGAGAATTTTGAGAGTTCACAATCTGATCTAGGGTTTGAAAACAGAAACACCAAATAGTGGGATACACTTATTTAACCAACCACTGCTAATGGGCAATTCTATACTGTTAATGCAGATGTGTGCGTGCGTGCGTGTGCATTTAAAAATGTACTATATTTAAAAAAAAATAGCGAAGACTTTTAAGAAACCTCTTGTGGCGCTGTGAAATATCTTCGTCAAAACAGAATGAAAGGAAGAAAAAAAAAGAAGGAAAATAAACGCTAATGTTTTCAGAAATGGAATGGTTAACAAAACACAGCGTGTGTTTATAAACGGGCAAATGTTTAATACATTGTCGCAAATCTCTCGAGAAAATGACCTCGAGATAAGCGTGTGATGCAGACAGTAAATAAGTTAGCCTGGATACGATAAATTCATTGTAAAAGGGTGAACAAAACGAAAAGAAAATGAAAAAAAAAACCAAAAAAACAAAAGAATAAATAGAAGGCCGGTTTTTAAAAAATCCCCGAAGAAATAACAGCAAAATGGGACGATGAGAAAATTTTGTGAGAATAAGAAAATGAAAGATGAGAGAAAATTATAAGAGAAAAGAAGTTGACAGAAGTTAGATTTTTAACCAAGGAGTGAAAATCAAAAAAAGGAATACATGGAAGAAGACAAACGAAGAAAAGGCAGAAAGATGAAAAAAAAAAAGAGGGAAAAGAACCTGAAGTAGAGGAGTTTGCATGAAATAAGAGAGAATTAAGGTTAGAGATGAAAAGAAAGGGAGAGAACGAGAAAAAAAAAAACAAGAGAGATGGAGAAAGAAACAAGCAAAGGGAATAAGGGAGGAGAAAGTGAAAGAAATGAAGAGAGACAAAGAAAACAAACAGTTTGTTTGTTTCTTTCTTTCTTTCTTATTCTGTTCATATCTATCTATCTATCTATCTATTTCAACCTGGTCTTTCTTTCATTGTTTATTTGTTTCTTTCTTTCTTTCTTTCTTAGTCTGTCCATATCTATCTATCTATCTATCTATTTCAACCTGGTCTTTCTTTCATTGTTTATTTGTTTGTTTCTTTCTTTCTTTCTTAGTCTGTCCATATCTATCTATCTATCTATCTATCTATCTATTTCAACCTGGCCTTTCTTTCTTTCTTTCTTTCTTTCTTTCTTTCTTTCTTTCTTTCTTTCTTTCTTTCTTAGTCTATCTATCTATCTATCTATCTATTTCAGCCTGGTCTTTCTTTCATTGTTTATTTGTTTCTTTCTTTCTTTCTTTCTTTTCTTTTCTTTCTTTCTTTCTTAGTCTGTCCATATCTATCTATCTATCTATCTATCTATCTATCTATCTATCTATTTCAACCTGGCCTTCCTTTCTTTCTTTCTTTCTTTCTTTCTTTCTTTCTTTCTTTCTTAGTCTGTCTGTCTATCTATCTATCTATCGATCTATCTATCTATTTCAGCCTGGCCTTTCTTTCTTTCTTTCTTTCTTTTTTCTTTCTTAGTCTGTCCATATCTATCTATCTATCTATCTATTTCAACCTGGCCTTCCTTTCTTTCTTTCTTTCTTTCTTTCTTTCTTTCTTTCTTTCTTTCTTTCTTAGTCTGTCTGTCTATCTATCTATCTATCTATCTATCTATCTATCTATCTATTTCAGCCTGCCTTTCTTTCTTTCTTTCTTTCTTTCTTTCTTTCTTTCTTAGTCTGTCCATATCTATCTATCTATCTATCTATCTATCTATCTATCTATTTCAGCCTGGCCTTTCTTTCTTTCTGTGGCACCTTGCATTATTAGAAATATTCATAGAAATATGATTTAATTTTTTTTTACTCGGTTTATTAAACAGGTTGTTGATTTTTTTTTTAAACGGAAAATAATTGAGTTGAAAATAATTCACTAAAGTTGTACTTAGACGATCCTAAGGAAAGAAGAAGGAAGGGGAAAGAAAAGAGGAAGAAAGAAAAAAAAAGGAAAGAGAGATGGATGATGCATGACCCGGTCATAAGGGAAGATAGGTGTCAGAAAGATATCTTGGCCTGCGTGTTGGCCGAATTTTAAAAGACAAAAGAGAATTGTTATTTGAAATGAAAAATCCTTTAGAGGGAGAAAAAGAACCAGGCTTGATGACAGTGTATTGGAATTGATAAGAATATCGGTCAAAGCACCTAGCCTACTTTTGCGTGGAAAGACTCATTGTCAAATTGGAGAAAGGGGAATTTCTTTTTAGAACAATAGAAACGAAATTTTTTTTTAATCGGAGAAAAAAGTGTCTTTTGGGTTGAGGGAGTGACCGGTGGAACGGTATACAGATTCTGACCTATTAAGAATTGGAAACCCACGATAATAAAGTGGGGACATTTTCAATGTAGATAATTAAGATTTTCTGACTGTCGGGTCTGACAAAAACAAGAGGTGAAAAAAAACGATTGTCTCAGCTCACAGATGGCGCCAATATTCTTTCCTGAAGTCACATCTAATTAGCGGCAGGCTGTTTTGACAGAGCCCAGGTGAGAAAAAAGCCAAGATTGTCATTTTTCGTACGTGCAAAAGGGAAAAATTAGATTTTGTTTTTTAAAACAAGAACGATGTAAGCCACGCCCGATTTGAGATGGAGGCGCCCAACCACAATCTCATTAGCCGAAAGCGGTCGTGATATGCGGAAAGAAGAGGAAGAATGCTCGATCAGGAACCATTGGTCAAAAACGGTCACCTGACATACGAGAAACCAGGAGAGATGGGTGTACGCCTCCCCACCAAAGGCACTGTGAGGAAGTAGGGGTGAAAACAATAGCGATAATGGGGAAACAGAATTAATGCGGCTATTGGAATTATCGAGAAACCACTGACGCCAACAGACCCACCCCGGTTTGCTGCGGCGTCAATAAAAGCAGGACCCCAGTCGACAGAAATCAGTTGAGTTGAGAGTAGCGGCTGAGTTGCAGCTGGACCGCGGGCAGGGATAGAGCCTGAACGCGGGCATCAGGCCCGATTCACTCGCCCCTTTGCGGGCAAAAGAATCCTCAGACAAGAAATCCTTCCAACCCAAGTCGAAGACAAGAGAACTTCCAGCCCAAGCAGACGAAGAAGGAGATTGCTCGAAGGACGCCAAGAGTTGTGGCAGAGTTACGGCAGAGTTACGGCAGAGTTCAGCCTCGAACGACAGAGAGTAGCGGCTGAGTTGCGGCAAGAAATCCTTACACCCAAGTCGAAACAAGAAATCCTTCCACCCAAGTCGAAGACAAGAGAACTTCCAGCCCAAGTGGACAAAGAAGATTACTCGAAAGCCGCAGAGAAGATCCAGCCCAAGTCGAAGACAAGAGAAGTTCTATCTAAGTCGACGAAGAAGAAGAAATACAACTCAAGTCGAAGAGAAGAATCAACTGCGAATGATCGATAGAAATTAGCCCCAGTGTCGAGCTAAACCACACCCCGACATACACAATTCTAAAGAGTAGGCAATTCGAAATCTTTAAGTTGTATGATAGAAGCTTGGTGCCATAGTCCACAGAGCGGGTCGGGAAATAAGAACAATTTTTCTTTATGTAACGGACATTAGATATAAAAGGTTGTCACCCTTTTTTTTTTTTATCAGTAATTTTTTGTCTCGTGAGTTTTTTTTTTTCTTTTACTTGTGTTTTGCCACCCCGTCGGACTCAACTTGTATCGGCCCCAATCCCTGCTGGTCCCGTCTGTCTAAGATCTAAACACAGCGTGGGTAGACAGACCGGAGATCAGTACAGTTGCTTCAGTAACCAGGTATTGGAAGCGAGTTGGGAAAGGCGAGGCTGGTGATCATCTAACCAAGGGGTTGGAGCGGCACGCTTGGAACCAGGAGGAGCGACCAGGAGGAGCGACGTCACAGTTGGCGCCGTAACCAAAGGATTCGACCCTGGGCCAGGTGTGTAACCGTCACATTTCTTTCTTTCTTTCTTTCTTTCTTTCTTTCTTAGTCTGTCCATATCTATCTATCTATCTATCTATCTATTTCAGCCTGGTCTTTCTTTCATTGTTTGTTTGTTTGTTTGTTTGTTTGTTTCTTTCTTTCTTTCTTTCTTTCTTAGTCTATCTATCTATCTATCTATCTATCTCAGCCTCTTCTTTCTTTCTTTCTTTCTTTCTTTCTTTCTTTCTTTCTTTTCCATCCATTCCATCATATATTTTTTCTACTTTCACTTTCTTTTCTCTTTTTCGCTTTTTATCGATTGAGATATTTTCGCATCTTGATATATAGACACTGTGTCCTTATTTCTTCTATATACCATGTCCTTTCAGGACGTTGGGTGGTAGCACTTCCCAACTTCCAGCGTTTTGTACCTCTTAGCAATGCATCTCTTTTTACTAACCCAATACCTTCTGCATCTTCTACAATGAAAAGGCACGCAGATTTCCACTGCCTCACTTGCCTTCTGCCTGTCCTTTGAGTATCAAATTCTCCAATCCCTCTTTCCTCTTTATGTGTTCTAGAAATTACAACAGTGATTTTTTTTCTGATCCTATGAACAAGTATCCTCTTATGCTTTAAGCAACGAGAAAGTTTGCGGGAAAATGGAAACGAAAATGTAAAGAAGCCGAAACAGAAATTTTAAATTTAAATTTTAGCAATTTTTAAAACTACAATTTTTTTTTTCAACACGTTGACGCATCAAGTTGAAATCTTCAATGTATTTCGTATTGTTGAAGTTATCGCTAACTTTTTTTTTGTCGAGATTTACAAACTTTTCATTTCGTTCAATTTCGCAAACCAATCGATAAATTTTGAACTAACTGATTTGTAAAGTCACGAAATAAGCGTTATCATTAGTTTTCTACTGTGACGTCTTTGCCCCGGTCGCAGCGTCGACTGTGTCGTTCGATCCCGTTCGCGGCGCCAATTGTGACGTCACGTGCTCCCCAGGCTCTGATATCCTGGTCACGGACAGCACCAGTTGTGACGTCTTTTGTCGCGGCGTCAGCTGTTCTCTCCTCGCTGCTCCAAACGTGACGTTCTAACCCTTTGGTTAGATTGATACCAGCCTCGTCGTTCCCAACCCGCTTCCAACGCCTGGTTACCAGGGTAACTGCACTGATCTCCGGTCTGCCTACCTACGTTGTGTCTTGATCTTAGACAGACGAGATCAACAGGGCTTGGGGCCGTAATGCAAGTTGAGTCTAACGGGGGTGATATCACACAATTGTGTATAATAAAAAAAAAATAAAATAACAACTCACAAGGTCCAACGTATCAAGAAAAAGGTAACAAACTTTTATGTCTATTTGCTCGGTACATAGGACTATGTCTACCTCCCGACCCGTTCTGTGGATTGTGGCACAACGCTTTTCCTAGGCAACTTTAAGGCTTCCAGTTGTCTGCTCTCTAAGAAATTTGTGTTTCGGTGTGTCTTTGGACGAAAGTCGAAAAAACTTATTTCTGTGGTCTGATTTTAAGTCGCTCTTCAAACTACTTGTTCTTGGTTGAAGAAGAGTCTAGAAGTGTGCGTGAATCTTGGTTAGTTATCTTGATGCGGTTTCAACACTGGGCGCTGATCTCTGCTTGTCGTTCACGGCTGATCTCTCTCGCCGTCCGCGGCGCAAACTCTGCCTGTCGTTCACGGCTGATCTCTGCTGGTCGTTCACGGGTGATCTCTCCTCTTCAGAGTCTGAATTATTGGTCACTCATCTCTGCCGTCAGTGCGCGAATTAACTTCTCTTCAGCTTGCTCTGATTCCAACTTCTCCACTTAGGCCAAACGGGCTGCTTCACTTCGGCTTCTCTTGCCCGCAAGGGGGCGAATGAACCGGGCCCGCCGTCCGCGCTCAAACTCCCTCGCCGTCCGCGGCGCAAAACTCTCTGATTTCTGTCGGTTGGGGTCCCGCTTTTATTGACGGTCTGTCGGCGCCAGGGTTTTCTTGATAATTCTAAATACGTATCCACCCTTCTTATTTCTGGTTAGGGATTTTCCATTTTCGGTGATTCACTTTCACTCCTACTTCCTTATTGTGTCTCTGAGGGCGTATACCCGCTTCTTCTTATCGGCTCCTCACACTTACACCTCTGATTAGGGCGTCGGCCGATTCTCCCCATGCGTCACGTGACCGCTCTCGGCCAATGAGATCCCGGTTGGGCATTTTTCCTCCTCCTTCGTGCGCCACGTGATCCCATCTTGCCAATGGCGTCTTTAGTCGGGCGTGGACAATCCGTGGCTTTGTTCTAGGGGAAGAAACACCTTGCTTAAAGAAACAAAAATTTAAATTGCCCTTATCGTACGTGACCGAAATGACGCTCTCGGCTTTTTTTAACACGCGGTATTTGTCAAACAGTTTATCGCTAATTGGATACGATCTAAGAAAGGGATTTCTCAGACTGGGTGGCGTTTTCGTGAACTAATAAAAATATTTCACTTTTTCTTTCGCTCGAAGCTTGATAACAAAAATCTTAATTATCTCAAAAACATTTCCAGCCAACATCATCTTGTGTGGCTTTATTTTCAATTCTGGAATTGTCTGGGTTTTCGTATTAATGGTTTGCCTGCATATCCTTAGATAAACTTCCCACCTGTTACCTATCATATTTTTTTTCCATTGTCTCTAAAATTTATTTCTTCAACCAAATTGATAACAAACTTCCATTTTCCGTGGACACGGAAGTAGGTCAGGTGCTTGACCTGGATATCTTCCAACATCTGTTATGTATCAATCGAGCGTGTGTGTGCTCGTCTATGACCTGGTTTTCGTATTATATTTTTTTCTTTCTTTTTCTTCTTCTTCTCTTTCTTTCTCCCAGATCGCTTGAACGCAATTAAAGAATTATTCTCAAAACCTAAATATTTTTCAGCTCTAAATAATTATCAAATGGTTGACAAACCGTAAAATAAATCATATATTTATGAATATTTCTTTCCAGCTTGCTAAGTATGCATGGTGCCACACTACGTGTTTTTCCTCTTTTTTAAACTCTCCAAAGAATGCGATAAATACCAACATGTGCATTGCCAACTAAATTTTCCCATCGTCAATGCCATATTCTGGCTTTATATCCCCGATTCCGATGAAGTTATTCAACCGTTGCTTGTGCTATGATCAAAGTGATATAACGTGAGTCTTCTTGACAGACATGTAGTTGTATATTTAGTATAATTATTCATCCATCTGGTTTGATTAGAAACAGTTCCTTAACGAACACGTGAATTCAGAAATAATATTGGTTTTCTGTAATTTGGATCTTGACGATTGAGGTTAGCCTTTTAAATCTTAAATTAAGTTACATCTGTCACACCATACCTCAATTACGACTCATTTAAATCTACACGGCTACTTACTGAAATCCATCAGCAAAATACTGTTAAACAAGAGAAATATAATAGCCTAGCCATGTGTAAAAAAAGGCCAAAAATAATGGAAGCAAAATTAATAAAAAAAGAAAAAGTTAAACAATCAGTAGCATCATCTAGGAACACGGCCACGATGTGTTGACCTTGTTTTCGAAAATAAAAACTTTCCTATAATACTAGATGGATGTGCGTTTTGGCCTAATGGATATCGCACAGAATCAGGACTCGGAGAGCCGAGTTAACTGGTGTAATTCGTCCGAGTTTCCTTAACCCAACGGACTCTGCCGCCATGAGCCACGTCTTCTAGCCGCTCCACCCAAAGTATTAGAAGCCGGTTCAAGTAAGGATATACAAGTAATAGAAATTATTAGGAGGATTTGAAATAATTACTCCGCGGAATTTGTGAATAGTGGCGCTATATCGAGCCTAATTAGTTACCTCGTCCTCACTTGGTTGGTATGATGGTGGCGTCGTATCGTAACGATCCGGGTTCGATTCTCGGTCGTCCAGTGCTTTCTGCATTCTGTTGTGGATTGTTCTAGACTCGATGAATTACTCGATGTTTCATATTTCCGAGCGCTTTCGGCTATAGCTTTAGCCATTATCAAGGGTGATTCAATTTAAACCACAACGTGCTAAACGTATTCGGAAATTAAAAACATCCCTACCACACAATAAGACATACAAATAACGCACACACTCAATCAAACTGAAAAATCGAATCATATTTGATAATGGCTAAAGATATAGCCGAAAGCGCTCGGAAATCTAAAACATTTGGACAGTTCTTACACACCCTTTGTCCAGAAACGAAAGCTCTTGTTAGAACACAAGAAAAAGTAAATAAAAACCTTAAACATAGTACCTTGTTTGTCGTTTTTAATGAAACATGTATAATAATAATCGACTCTCCCGTCGAGATTCGACGTATGAGGTTCAAGCAGATCAGTTTCCAGGAAACCGACAGCCCGACACCGGCACATGAGATTTGATTATAGTGGTGAAGGCTTCGTGCAGGACCATCCACACTTTTTGAAGGAAAGAATACAGAGACCTGGCGCACCGAATGCCACAAGGTTCCCAAACGACCCTCCGCAGGTTTTGAATTCAGAGTTGTCCTTCTCCTAGACCGGTTGCCATCCAAGGCTATAGAACCCCATCCTGCTAAATAGCTGGAGGGAGTGGAAGAGGATTCACACCTTTCCCAAGGGTATTCGCCCGGAAGTGAATGTAATGGATTCGACTGGAACTCGGCACTGCGATTCCTCAATCCAAGCCGCTATCCATTACCCCACTGTGTGTGTGTGTGTATATGTATATATATATATATATATATATATATATATATTATTTTGCAACAAGTATTTATACCTGTTTATATTTCTAAAACAAGTTATTGTAATTATTTACACTAGTTACATTATTCGGACTGTTGTCCTCATCATCGTTGTCATATTCACCTCAATGACACAGCCCAGTGATTGAAAGCGTTGGTTGTGAGTTCAATACCTGTCTACAGCAGAGGTGAACAAAAACGTGGAGAATTGAGTTTAAGGGAGATAACTGATACTGAATCATCCCAAAGGGTTCGGTTCGAAATTCCTATTCACCTGAAGAAGGTCGTAGTATATAACGGCCGAAACGTCGTGAATATGCCAACGAAGATGAGGACAACAGGCTGAACAATGCAAATAATATCAAGTATTTATACATAGCGTAACATCTTAGAAGATTGTGTCAATGGATGGCAGAATACGGGCTGGGAACAATAGTAAGTAGACAATGTTTAGAATTTATTGGGAGCCATGATCGCCTGCCATCTGAAGAGGTAAAGCGAATAAACAAAGAAAACAGTTTTAACGAAACACAATAGCAGGGTTTAAAGTTAATTTTTCGAGAGGCGAGCTGGCCTTTAGTTTTGTCAAGAACATCGTTATGGCTTGCCAACACTTTCTCTGCCTTGAGACGCAAAACAGAATTTGGCTTCACCTTTTACTTTTTTTAAAAAAAAAAAAAATTAAAATTAGAGTGACGAAAAAATGGCGAAAATGAAATGGGCGGAAGAGTGTGGAACTCAAATCATGTGCATGTCGAGTGAAAATCAAGAATGAAAGACAAAGAAGAGACGAAACGATGAAGAGGTGAAAGAAATCAATAAGAAAAGATATTCACTCAAGGAAGGGCATTTTCTAAAATATTTTTTCAATCGGTTAGAATATTTTGTAGCTTTCGTTATTGGGAAAAAATAAAACAAAAAAAAATTGATCCTGACAAATACCTGTTTGTACATTTACGAAAAATACACTTTCAAAAGTATGTCATATCTATCTATCTATCTATCTATCTATCTATCTATCTATCTATCTATCTATTTTTTTAATCATTTCACACCATCCAAAGCAGTAAAGCCACTAAGAAACAACAAGTTTCTGATTAGAAAGAATAAGACAAATAGAAATTTTATTTCTGATCGAGAAGAATAATGTATGAGATAGTAGTTTGCAATAGCCATTGCATCTATCACAATCTTTTCTTTTTTTCTCATTCTGTTATCTATCTATCTATCTATCTATCTATTTCATTCTTTTCTAATCTATCTCATTCTCTTCTGATCTATCTATCTATCTATCTATCTATCTATCTATCTATCTATCTATCTATCTATTTCATTCTTTTCTAATCTATCTCATTCTCTTCTGATCTATCTATCTATCTATCTATCTATTTCATTCTTTTCTAATCTATCTCATTCTCTTCTGATCTATCTATCTATCTATCTATCTATTTCATTCTTTTCTAATCTATCTCATTCTCTTCTGATCTATCTATCTATCTATCTATCTATCTATCTATCTATCTATTTCATTCTTTTCTAATCTATCTCATTCTCTTCTGATCTATCTATCTATCTATCTATCTATTTCATTCTTTTCTAATCTATCTCATTCTCTTCTGATCTATCTATCTATCTATCTATCTATCTATCTATCTATCTATTTCATTCTTTTCTAATCTATCTCATTCTCTTCTGATCTATCTATCTATCTATCTATCTATCTATCTATTTCATTCTTTTCTAATCTATCTCATTCTCTTCTGATCTATCTATCTATCTATCTATCTATCTATCTATCTATTTCATTCTTTTCTAATCTATCTCATTCTCTTCTGATCTATCTATCTATCTATCTATCTATCTATCTATCTCATCCTGTTCTTATCTATCTATTTCATTCTTTTATTATCTCTCTCATTCTCTTCTTAGCTATCCATTTCATTATTTTCTTATCTATCTCATTCTCTATCTATCTATCTATCTATCTATCTATCTATCTATCTATCAGATTCTGTTCGTATCTATCTATCCATCAATCTATCAGATTCTTTTCGTACCTATCTATCTATCCATCAATCTACCAGATTCTTTTCGTATCTATCTATCTATCCATCTATCTATCTATCTATCTATCTATCTATCTATCTATCTATCTATCTATCTCATTATGTTCATTATCTATATATCTATCGCATTCTATTCTTAACTATCTATATTTTTTTAATCATTTCATCCCATGCATGGCAATAAAGCCACTAAGACACAAGAGATTAATGTATGTGAAAGAATAAGTTAAAAAAGAAACCTTATTAAGGAGTGAGAAGAGCAATGAAAAAGATTTTAGTTGATTTTGCTTAGCGGCATATCATCACCTCTAATGCCAAAATCTTAATATCTTGTAAATTTTTTTTTGATTTTAGATAATAATGATCATAGTGATACAATTCTCACTAATTAGCCCATAGCTGGAGGAAGAAAAGGTGGATTATGCATTTCCCATTGGGTATTTGAGTGGAAGGGAATATAATGAACACGATTGATATTGAAACCGAACCACCTAGATTAAAAATTCCAAACCATTGTCGATTAAACCTCACGCACACATATCCTAGCTGATATCACCTGTTATTCTCAAGCGGTCACCCATCTTCGTACTGACCAGGCTTGACGTTGCCTAACTTCGATGATCGTACGGAAACCGGTGTTTCAACGTGATGTGGCCGTAAGCCAAGCAAGAAGACAGTAGTTTGCAATAGATATTGCATCTATCTCATTCCGTCCGCATCTATCTATCTATCTATCTATCTATCTATCTATCTATCTATCTATCTATCTATCTACCTTCCAGATTCTGTTCATATCTATCTATCCATCTATCTATCAGATTCTGTTCGTATCTGTCTATGTATCTATCAGATTCTGTTCCTATCTATCTATCTATCTATCTATCTATCTATCTATCTATCAATTGTCCGTCTTGGGTATGACGATAAATTATATCCGCGTCCAGAGTAAGACGATGAGCTACATCCAACAGCAAGGCCTCTGATCAGGAGGTTTTGAGGAGTTGCTAGTTTTCCCAGGTCCACCCTGACCCGGGGTGGTAGCACCTGTTAGGGTCCCAGCTATGGGCAAATAGTTAACACCCAGACTTATATAAAAATAAGTTTTAATACCAGAAATACTTGGTAATAAAAAAAAATATTATCAGCAATAACATAAAAATCATATCAGCAATACATTCTTTGGAAAAAAAATATATGAGCAGCTATAGATTTCTTCAAGGAAAAATATTCCCAGAAATAATTACAAGCAATAAAAATTTTGTCGATATCAAATAACCCATTGAGGTGTTGATATACCGTAAAACAAAAGAAACAAACAAAAAAAACGAAATCATCTCCGAAATACAGATATTAAAGAACTGTAATTTATAGCAGAAAAGACATTGCTTCAGGATTAAACAATTAAACGATGTAAATAGTTACAATACCTCATGTCAGAAATATAGACAGATCTTGAAGAAGACCGGAGCGTATAATGACCGAAACGTCGTGAATATGGCAATAAAAATGAGAAAAAATTCCCAGCAACACAATTTCGAAAAAAAAAAGAAATAAAAAAAAATTACCAGCTATATATTTGTGGAAAAAAAAATATATATATTACCTACGAAAAAATCTTGTCGGCATTAAGTTTTCGGTATATCAACACATTGAGTTTGATATGTCTAAAAACAAAACAAACCAAATTAAATTGATTTCTTAAAAAGAATACATATTCTATTCATACGAAATCATAGATAGATAGATAGATAGATAGATAGAAAATATTACCAACAATAAAAATCTTGTCGGCATTTGTTGAATCATGTTTCCCATAGTCTATGAATATAGAATACAGCGCAGTGCGTAATCTGTTCAATGAAACAACGTTAAAGATTAACATTCACGAGTCAGACACTCTACTGAATCTGACTATATTGCCAATACCACCAGCAGCTGTTCTGTAATTCTTCAGTCTTCGATATCAAAGGCTGGCAGTGATATTTAGCCACCCACCTATGAGGGTTACATGTGGCACAAGGCCGGGATTAACGTGGAATCTCCAAGCCCATAGGCTCGGCCAAAAATATTCCCTATTCGAACGCGTATAAACGGGTTTAGAGGTAGTCGACCTCCCCGAAGGAGACTCTGCCCTTCGGCGGAGCCTCGTTCGGGTTATCAAAGACTGGCAGTGCGTATTCGGGAAAAACATGGCCGCCTTTATACACGTCGCATTGAATATTTTGAGCCTTCTGATTGGTTAAACCTTCTATTGGTGAACTATAAAATGAGTCAGCTCATTTTGACTGGCTCACTAGTACACCAGGGTACCCAAAAATTCGAACAGCATTAAATAACCCATTGAGATTGATATGCCGTAATACAAAACAAAACAAACGATACGCAATTGTAATCTTATTTCGGTGTTGAGACCGTATGCAGGAGTAGGCAGGGGTGTTCTTGGCTTTTAACTCTATCACTGACACTGAGTATTTTCCAATAAGTACCGCGAATACATTATATATATATATATATATATATATATATATATATATGTACGTGTGTGTAGGTGTGGGTGTGTGTGCAAATATATTGAAAAAATAGGAAAGAACCGTTATATTGATGATACGAAGTTCTTTAGTATTTTTTTTTTAAAAAAACAGTGCTCGATGCAGAAGTAGAGCCTAAATTATCATTATATTTTAAAAAATAAGATTCCATCGCGACACACAAATTACTATGTTTCGAAACTGGTCAGCAGTATTTAAGTTTAATTTCAATATTAAACCTTAACAATTGGATGGCAGTTTCATCCTTAAGCGATATTTGGAAAAACGAATCAACGGAATATGAAACTTCCGCCCAATTTAAGGTTTAATATTGTTGTGGTTTCCTCTCTCTAAACAGTCTATGTTGCAAGATGTTTTAACCAAGTAAATGGTTTAAGAAATAACAAAACAAGTGTTACAATAACAGTAAGTACAACAGAAGAGTATTACACGACTAGTAAGTGTGTGTCGCTTAACCAGAGTTCAATCTATTCGACTGTTAATATTTAACAGCCCTTCCCTCCACGAGGAATGTATGTGGCTCAAGCCGAGTTTACCGTGGGTTCTCCGAGCCCGTAGGCTCGGCCAAAAATATTCCCTTCGAACCCGTATAAACGGATTCAGGGTTTGTCTACCCCCGCGGACGAAACTTTGCCCTTCGGCAAAGCCTCTTTCGGGTTCCTCCCTGCTGAAGGCAAAGAGTTCGACAGCACTGTCCGAACAGATCTGTTCGACTGTTAATATTTAACAGCCCCCCAGCCCATGAGGAATGTATGTGGTACTAGGCCGAGTTTACGGTGGGTTCTCCGAGCCCGTAGGCTTAGCCAAAATTAATCCCTTCGAACCCGTTTAAACGGGTTCAGGGTTTGTCTACACCCGCGGACGAAACTTTGCCCTTCGGCAAAGCCTTTTCCGGGTTCCTCTCTGCTCAAGGCAGAGAGTTTGACAGCAATGAACAATCTATTCGACTGTTAAATTTAACAGTCCCTTCACAAGGAATGTATGTGGCACAAGGCCGAACTTAACGTGGGTTTCTCCGATCCGTAGGCTCGGCCCAAAATATTCTCTTTGAACCCTCCTAGACGGGTTTAGGGACTGTCTACCTCCCCGGACGAAACTTTGCCCTTCGGCAAAGATTCGTCCGAGTTCCTCTCTGCCGAGGCAGAGCGTTTGACAGAAAAGAACAGTCTGTGTGACTGTTATATTTAATAGTCCCCCGACAAGAAATGTATGTGGCAAAAGGCTGAGTTTAACGTGAGTTTCTCCGATCCCGTAGGCTCGTCCAAAAATATTCCCTTTGAACCCGCCTAAACGGGTTCAGGGAGTGGCTACCTCCCTGGACGAAACTTTGCCTTGCGGCAAACCTTCGTCCGAGTTCCTCTCTGCCGAGGCAGAGAGTTCGATAGTTACAAACAGTCTGGTCGATTGTTCCCGCAAAGCCTTCTCTCCTTCTAATCTTATAGTAGGCGGAAGAGTCCAACATAGACTCCTTAGAGGGAGGACACCACAACAAATGTTGAAATTAAACTTGAATACTGCTCACCAGTTTCGAAACAGTAATTTCTGTGTCGCGATGGAATCATATTTTTTAAAAAAAATACAATATATATATATATATATATATATATATATATATATATATATATATATGTGTATAAGACCTACACATAGTGAACCAAATGTAATTAGTTTATGTATTATCGCCTCTTTGATCATAAAAGTAGCGTATAGTATAATAGTGAATGATTCTGTTTGAGTTGTCCACCACTCGATACACAATATGTTCATGGATGAGTAAGCTAATGTGTCCGTTGGGAAAGGTAATGAGATATTATTTTGAGAAGAAACAAATCAAATCATATGCATATCTACTTAAGCTCTGTTCTATACCAACTAAAATATTTTGAGACAAGATGATACACTACGAAAAGCAAGAACAAGTTGAAATTTAATTTAAAAATATTCATTTTAACCCAAGCAAGACACTAAAAACGACTAAGACACAAATGATTACTGGATGTGAAAATATCTGAGAAAAAAAAAACATTAACCCTTCGACCCCTGCGTTGCTGAACAATTTTAACCCTTCTGCCTGAGCTCCTGAGTCAAAATTCGCAAATAATTGGTATGTAAGGATTCACGGTAGATATAAAAATAGACGTGTTTACCCACCGTTTAACCGGTGGCTGCGCATGAAGTCATTTTTTTTCTACCACTGTTAAAACGGTGGTTCGGCATTACGTCATTTTTCTCTAGCAAACGGTAAAGCAGTGGCCAGGGCTAAAAGTGTAAATAAGGAGAGAGATGAGCAGTAAAACCGTATTTAAGAAATTTGGGGATTTTCTAATAGTACGCATAATGTTTTATGCTTTCCCTCATAATTAGCGAGAGAGCCTCTTGATTTTGGTCTTGATTTTACACAGGTCACTCTTATTTGGGGGGGGGCTGAGCAGGTCCTGCTAACATCATTCCTTCCGCTTTTTTACACCCCCACAGCTTTAATAAAATTTACACATACACACGCACACGAACACACACACACACACACATACATATATATATATATTATAAATTGTTTTATTTAAAATATTTTTTTTTTCGCTTAAATTAATTAAATAAATCAAT